CACCATAACAGTGGTGACAAGTCTTGACGTGTGCACCAATAGGAGCTGAGGGGAAAACTGTCCGCCCTCACATACTGAAAAACACTCACATACAGTACAAATACAGTACAGGGACCAGGTGACAGTGTAATTATAACTGCCTGTAAACAAACATGCACTGTCAAAACATAAACATAGACCTCAAAGCATGTGTTTTCCTGATTGGATATTCATTTTGGCTGGCTATTTTATGATTGGTAAATAATAATACTCAGTGTGACTGTGCACCTTCCCTCCTAGAAACGCTGTTCTCTTGCATGTGAACACTGTTCTATACTTTCCCTTTGACGTCATGACATCCCCCTAGATCTGTAAAACATGGGGCAGAGTACAAGGGCATCACAGTAAATAGGAGAGGGAGGTATTTGGAAACTATGTAGAACAGGTTGTTTCAACTTTATTGTTTGCTGTAGGTTGTGAGTGTTGATTATCACTGGCAGCATGGCTTTAGGAATGGTAATGTCAGACAGTTGTCTAGTCTAATACTTTGCTCCAAACTAAAATATCTAAACAGTTACTGGATGAATTGACTGTGAAATTCTGCACAGACATTCATATTCTCTAGAGGATAAATCTTACTTACTTAAGTGATTCCCCACCTTTTTCCACCACCAAGAGGTTCACACTCTTTCTCAAATTTCTCGACTACTGATATAATGTATCAGATTACATTCACCTCCCCTTCAAGAGGAACTGTAATCGATCTGTCCTTTGGTTTATGATAAAATGCCTGCAAAACTACTTCCCCATCAGCCTCAGCTCTATGTTGTGTTTAGTGCTCATTATCAAGCGAACATATAAACGTTACCATGTCAGCATTGTCACTGCGGGCATGTTAGCCTGCTGACATTAGCATTTAGCTCAAAGCACCACTGTGCCTAAGGGCAAGGTAATAAAAGAAGGGCTTTGTAGGACATGTTGCCCCACCATGTTGGAAATCAAAGGCGTTTATAGTCGTTTTGAATGACCATTTGAAGGCAGAGTGGAAATATGGGGATAAGAGCATGCATTCTCACACAGTCTCTTCAATAGTGTTGTAATCATTTTTTTACACAATAAGAGACAGAATTATGTCAAGACTGAAGAAAGAGGGCTAGACAAGGTCAAACCCTGCCAACTTTCACACGACCCAGCAATCATATAATGAAGTAGTTATGAATGTTAAATCGTCCGTTTTGGGAAGTTACAGAAATGGTCAGTCCCTCAGTCCCAGCTATTCTGATGTGCAGTTATGAAGAAGCCTTTTGGCAGCTTAAGTCAGAACCTGGCTGTAGAGGCTGTTTTCCCTGTTTGCAATGGTGGGAACTATTCATGCAAAAATAAAATCTTCCTCTCATCTAATTTAAAAGCATTTTTGTCTGCCAGGCTTATTAAAAATATGTGTTTGGCATCCATGACAAGACTGATATCAGACCAAACAGATAACACTGTCAGTTTGACTTCCTCAACTCCCTGTTGGGAAACGAGAAAACAAGCTTCGAGCTTGTCAGGGTAGAATATTGTTTTGGCTGACTTATCCATTGTAATCCTCCACCTTTTATTATCACAACAGGTCTACAACAAAAACATGATTCTCAGATCAAATGTCTATTGGATTATTTGTTCAAATAATTCTATGTAAGAACATATTCCCTGAAAACAAAAGTCAGGTCAATCTTCATTCTCACCTCTCACGCTCTTAGAAAATGTGCAGGACGACTTACTTGGAAACACAGAGAGCCCATGTGACCTCCATGCTTTCAACTCTCGCCAGACTCTGACTGGCATGCCACAGTCACTCAGATGGCAGTTAGTACAGTACATGCAGTTGGTGTTCAGAGGTTACCAGACAGCTCTGCTGAAAGTGTTTCCAATGTGACTGCTGTGATGTCATTAAACGTTTGAGAAACATCCCTCAGTTGGCTCCTCTCTCTGACTTGCATCAGTGTGTGCATGGATTTCTGGGATCATGTGAGGTGACGTACCCCACCTCCTCCTCCCAGCCTTTGCTGTTGATCTGCAGGGCAGCGGCTGGTGTGTTGCTTGAGCAAGTATCCCAACATGTGGCAATGTGTGCACCACCACCCTTTAATCTGCGAGGCACGTGGCACCGGAGTAACCAGCAACTGCTTATGGTGTGCTGCACTAAATGATGTGGTAGCAATGATAAAGACGCTGCATGAAGGAGCTTGAACTAGAAAACTGTTTGATTTTCAATCTTAATCAACTTTTTACAGTTGAATTCACTGTTGGATTGCAACAACTTTGCTCTTCTTGGCTCTTCTAAAAATATTTGATAAATAATTGCACGGAATGCAACACGTAAATCCCTTGTTCCTTTTTCAGTGGAAATGAAGCTATAGTTAGTGTAGCTGGCATACAGAACCCTGTTGGTTTTCCTTGGTTGGTTTTTTTTGGTTTCAGTGAAAAGTTTCAGTTTTCTCTTTTTGTCAGTGGAGTTCCCCTACATTTTGAAATGTGTCAGAAAGTATAACGAAGCTTTTATGCAGTACAGTTGGAGTGATTTATAGTCAGGCTATGTTATATATACGCTTATGGTGTATATATGGTAGTGTTTATAGTAGCCAACATAGTAGTGTTTTGAATTTTGGTTGTGGGACAGTGTTTTGTCCCCTTTTTTGATTTTGGATTGTACCTCTAAACAAAATATTTTGCAGGGCCCAGTTCCAAGAAGCAGGTTTACTGACCTTTCTAGATAACTGCCTATTAAAACCCAGCTGCCACTAAAATGTGGAATGTGGACTAATGTACAAAGACCTGTGCTAGTTTACTCAGTAGTAATCTCACCTCCTGGAACTGGTATTTGTTCCATAATATTTGGTTTTGATCATGCCACATTAACACCCTGTAAAACAGGATATTGTTGATCTCACATTTCGGTTTTTGTATCAATTAAATAATTAAGATTTGGATTTTGTTAGATATTGTAGAACTTGAGGTTAAGTTGAAGTGTGTACCATTTAGGAGATTAATAACTATATTTTCATTAGTGTATAATATGAATACAAAAATACGAATTGTTACTTTAGAATTAGCCATTTTTATCTACAGGCGGTGTGGGTCACCTTTAATGGAGTCCACCATGTTGAAATGCCATGTTTCTACAGTAGCCAAGAACAGACAAACCACACACTGGCTCTGGATAGGGCACGCCTTGCAGCTACTCTAGGTTCTCCTTTACGCTTGGAAGTTGCAATCTGCAAATGCCACTAAATCCTACACAGTGGTCCTTTAACCTTGAGTTAAGATTTGAAAACACTCAGTTTTACTTATCTGCTTGCATTGCAGTAACCAGCTTGGCATTCTGGTGAGTAGATCCAGTAATGTCTGTTCTGGCTAATGCAAGGCACGCAGAAGTTCCACTTATAGACTTAAAAGAACCTCTACTGGCCAGCCATACAGTGACTAAAGAGGTTGTGGTTTATTATATGTGGGAGGCAGATGGCATGCAGAGGGTTAATATACTCCATGACTATGAAACTGAAGTGAGTCACCATACCCACACTGGGTGGTATGTTGGTTGGTGAGGAGGCAAGACAGCTCCATGTTCTCAGCAACAGACCCACTTGTGGGGTTACTGTAGGTTTTCAATCTTTAGGAAAGTGGGTCAACGTTGCAATGAGAAGAACGTATTCCTCTTGAGTATTGTATTGAGTATTAAGATAATTACAACCAGAAAACATACTGAGAAAAATAGAGTTGATAAAGATAAAAAGTAAAAGGCATGAATCCTTTTAGCTACCAAGATACTCAAGCCGGTATACCACAACTGAGAACAGTCATAGACAATCACCTGATGTTAAGTGTAGCTTAAGACTATTACTCACCTAAGGTTTTTCAGTGACACAGGCCAGAGGATGGTCTGACACAAAATACTTGACCTGACTTTCCGTGATCCAGTTTTGGCATGATGTTTAAGTGGAACATGAGCAGGGAAAAAAGCTCAGTAGGAAGTTGTTCTACTGTTCCACTTCACTGCTTCATACCATCAATTCGTACCAACAATTGCAAATGTGTCAGTACTTCTCAGGAATGTTGGCTGCATTCCTGATTTATTATGTCTCACAATCTAACCAGTGTAGTGTGTGTGTATACACATGTGACAACAAATACTGTACAAAAAAATCTTCAACACTTACTTATAGTTAAGCCAAAACGTGCTGTAATGTGGTGTGTTCATCCATAAGCTCTCCAGTTTAGAGGGAGCAATACTGAGTTTGGACTAATGAGCTTCTGCTAAATGACAGCTGACATTCTGACCTTAGGAGGCAAAATAAATTAGATTTCCAAGTTGGCACATGATTCAAAAGAAAACAAAACCAGTTGGTGTTGGCCATTTACAAGTTACCGTACTAATAAGGTAACTAGATGACATCTACATGATTATTATTGGGCCTTTTTGACTGGTATTGAGTTGGTATTTAAAAGAAGCACAAATTAAAACAAAAACCAATGATAGAAGTCATGAGGAATTAATAGATGACAAAGTTATGAAAAATTTAAATGACAGGGTAAAGCAGCTGTGAGACATGACAAAAGGTATACCTCAGGCAGTAGCATGAGGGTTAAGGCGGGAACATGTTGCTCAGGGCTGCATGTATGCAAACACGGTTTATGATTGTCCAAATTTTGACCAGAAAACGTGCATGTTTTGGGGAGCCCTGGTAGCTCACCTGGTAGAGCTGGTGCTTCATGTACCAAGGCTGAGTCCTTGCTGCAGCGACCAGTCAAGTTTGAGTCCCTATGTCCCTTTGCTGCGAGTCATTCTCACTCTCCCTAATTCCGGTCATTCTTGAGCTGTTCTGTCTTGCATTTTCCAAGCATCACTTTCACAAGTGACTTATGATCTCATGATGTAAATCATAACTTAATTCCACCCTTACTAAGGCAGGTCACAATAAAGACACTAAGGAGTGTTTCAACAGCGATGTGACATTTGAAATGATAAACAAAGGCAAACGTTTCTACAAATAACAGGTGAATTTATTTTTCCAAAAAGTTATTTACATTATGTACATAAACGCACCCCCAAAATAAGCCACATACAGTAACAGTAACACTACGCACAAAACCTCAGAGATCGTGTGCAATGCGATCAGGTATCTCCTTCAGTTATACAGTGTATCAGTAATCTCTCAGCAGAAAGGCACACTTCTTGGTCACAACAAGCACAGAAAAAAACAAAAAACAAAAAAAACACCCACACATTACCACACACAACATACACACAAATACTGCATCAAGGAGAAATGCATTAAATACATGCTTTATCATGGGATGTGCTCTGATAAATAACGTTGGTCTTGCAGTGCTTCCATTTTTTTCATAAATAAAAAAAAAATAATAATAAAAAATGTACAGTACAGCGACTACAATTGCTGGTGTTTGTCCACTGGCACAGATCTGTATTCTACGTCACTAGTCCAGACACAGGAACGTTCTGCAATTCGCCGGGCAATCTTAAGACATTTAGGACTGCCCCCTCGCTTTCAGCCTGTGCGTCATTTTCCAGCTGTCTTGTTGGCTGAACAGACCAGAGTCCTTGTTTCCAGAAAACCAATGAAAACCTTGCAGAGTCCAGTCAAGCCCCTCCCACCGTGCGCTGATCAATCTTCAAAAAGTGCTCAAATAAGGAGAAGGCAGTGCTTCTTGCTGATCCATGTTGAGTCCCCCATGGTGATGGTGCCTTGGTTGTTGGAAGTGCTGAGTTGTTACATGGGCAGCCTGTCAAAAAAAAAAAAAATAAAAAAAAGGATTTCACTCACTAAGAATAATCACACACACCATACTATGCTTCTTAATTTACAGTTGAATAAAATATAATTTTATGCAAGATATTTAACATTTCATCACGTTTCATACCGTTTTCTTGGCTTCACTTCCCAGCCATCACGACATTTCACGTAAGTTATCGATTCCCCTGGGGAAATTTCAGCTTTTGCGGGGTCTTGGGCACAGAACGTAAACCTGTGACAACAGAAGAAATCTCAATAAATATTTGTCAAGAAAAACAAATCCTGGGGAGGTATGGTGTCTGGACAGCTGCTCCTCCTACTTACTTCTTTTGTGTTTCTCCAGCTTTCACACGAATGCGCCGGACTTCCAGCACCGGTTTGGGAGGCTTGGCATTCCAGGCCCAGAACGACTGCTTAATGTTCTTCCAGACCGAGTTCCAGGATTCAGATTCTCCTTCCCAGCTCAGACGGATCTTCAGAAGATCACCGATATCCTTCTCAGTGAACACCAAGAACGTGTTGGTCAGGTTTAGACCGACTGTGTCATCATGGCTGAACAAAAGGGGGGAGAAATCAGGTTAAGTCAAGTACCCAGAAAACTAAAAACATAAGTTCTAGAAGCTGTATGTTCAATGTAAATATTATTCTTATTATTATTATTATTATTATTATTATTATTATTATTATTAAATTAGTCATTAACATTTTTTTTTTTCAAAAGTAGTGAGTGAGTAAAGCAGACATCATGCTGAACAATCTGAGCTGTGGTGATGTCTGATTGCTGATTTATTGCCATGAATCGCTTTCACAGCCAATCTTTTGTGAAGACTTTAAATTTTTATCTATGGAAACTCAAACTTAAAATTATTGGCGTTCCTCCTCCAGTTTGAGCTTGTTGTACATCACAAGCCTGTGTCAGTGGCACTTTAAAAAAGGTCAGTACTAACAAAGCTCAGATTCCAAGTGTATAATCAGAGCAGCCTGTGCACTTCTCAATATCACCAGCGGTTTGGCAGAAAGGATTTAGATGTACTTACACATCGACAAATATGTTGGTTGTATCGTTATGAGCTCCGTACAACTTGACGTGGAAGGTGGGATCTGCATTGTCTGACTTTTTTCTGTTGAACACGTGCATCTTCATCTGGTAATGGTAGCCTTAAAAGAAAACAGAAACAGAGTTAATGTTTGATCCACTGAGGAGTAGCGGTAGTTTACTCTGGCAAAGATAAGAAACTCTAATTATGAACTGAGTTATGGTACAGTTACTTATCAGTTTTACTGTAGGAAGTAAACATTGTAGTAAAAGATAAAACTGACTGCAATGGAAATCCTTATTGTAACTCACCTCCGAAGGGAGTGTCAGCACGTGTCTTCAGATACATTTTACTGTTGCGCCTCTTGCGCATCTTTCTAGTGTTGTAGCCGATGTTGTTGCAGCGATTTTTGCGGCAGCTGAGGCAGATGCCTTTCTTAAAGCGATCCGGGCCGGTACACTGGAAGGCAAAGCTCATGTGGTCCTTGTTCATTAGGGAGTCCACAAACAAGTGCACGGCGCGCTCATGCTCGCACTTCATCACCTCCATGAAATCTGGAGAAAAAGGAAGGCAGGTTAGGTAAACTTTATGCAGATATATAGACAAAAAAAACCAAAAAGGTGACATAATGCCATGGTGCCTGAGCAAACTAATGTCGGACTAAAGAAATTGTGTGAAATTGTGTAAAATTATTGTGTTATGACTGGGGTCAACCATTGCTGACGAACTTACTTCCAGCCACTGCCAGCACGTCACCAAGCGCACAGCCGGGTTGCACATCGCCACCATTGGGGTAGATATCAATGTCCCCAATTGGCTGCTGGATACCAATGCTGACACCCAAAGCCTCTCGAGTGTAAGTGTGCAGAACGTCTACGAAGTCGGCATCATCTGGGGAGAGGCGCTTCTGCTCCTCGACGCCCTCAAACATTGGTCCGGCTGGGTCTAGCCCTATCAGAAATCAAGACGAGACAGGTGTTCAATAAAATGAGGCAGCACCATCTGTGAGGAGTGTTTATTGCGGTTTCATGTTGCACTGAACTTACCAGTGATTCTGCCGATGGTCCCTCGCACAAACGTTCCCGCGTAGCCGGCTACATGAGCGCCTAAACTGTAGCCGATCAGGTGCACATTCTCCAGAGGCAGCTGCTGCTCGTCCTGTAGGAGGAAAAAGTTACAACATTCAGATCAGCAGCTGTCGCCACGGACACTTACTCACACTGAACAAATCCTGGATTTCAGCCAGCGATGATCAGTCGTGCCTGCAGCTGAGCCAAGCTCAGTTAACCCGGACACAATCTACCGACAGTCCCTTCCATGCAACAGTGCCTCTACCATCTGTCTCAGTTTGTCTCCATGAAATACTCTTTGTCTATGTTTACAACTACGTGGCAGGTCGGGCTGGTTGCCTGAAACTCTGCTCACTTGCCATTCGCGCACTGGTCCAATTTTGTGACAGTCCAGCTGAATGGGAATCGTTGTCTTTGCCTCAGAAGTACTAAATAGACTGTGTGCCCCTCTGATGAGCATTGAGCTAAAAAGGTTCTAAAAGAAGGAAAATATCAAGTATCTTAAGCTCTGAAGACAAAACCCAGATGGAAATGGACCTACTGCCTAAGGGTGACACAGGTGTTTCAAAAACACCCAACATTAAAAAAAATGTAACAAAATGGGTATTAAGCATACCATTTCACTTCAAACACGTTTTGACAGTTCTGTCAGGCTGACAAAAAGCTGTGATCTCTTAAATCACTAATGAAAGACAGAAGGAGGGCAGGTTTTATGGATTTGCAGGTACTCAGCTGCTCTTCTGTCAGTCAGCATTACTGAACCAACTGCCAAGATGGCTCAGATCACACACACACTACAACATAAATCATATATTTAATAATAATAATAATAATAATAATAATAATAATAATAATAATAATAAAAAACACCCCAAAACATAAAATTCATTAGATTTACTCATACATCTGGCCTACATACTTAAGACACCTTGGCTTTATAAGACCAAAGCTACGTCAAGGGTGAGTAACAGCATTTGCATGAGGGTATTGTGGTATTCAGTGGAGTGTTACAATGACCTGGTGCCATAGAAGGAGGCAGATTTTCCTTTTTATTATTAGAACAACCTAAATAGAAACCCTATTTGCATGTGCACGATCTACTCAGATTCAGCAGAACACTCGAGCATTCGAAAGAGGAAACCAAGTCACTTTCACAAGTGTCTAAGTGGTGTAAATGACTGTGCACGCACCTGAAGCCAGTTGAGCATGGTGGCAATATCCAGGCCGACGTTGTGGGTGTGGTTGACCGCGTCAGGGTACAACTGCTGAGCCATCGCTATCCAATCAACGACAACTACATTGGCTTCAGTTTCACGCCTCATCACTGCAGCGACCAACTTTTGCATCCAGCTTTCGAACATCCCACTCATCTGAGAGAAAGAGACAAGAGGAATCATTCATTTATTCATTCATTGTTCATTCATTAATTCATTCATTAATTCATTCATAAAGCCAACTTTAACCTGGTGACCCCTCTCTTGATACTGTGCAGTCCATTATCTCACACTCGCATGATACATTCCAACAACTGAAAGCACAGTCTGGGTGGAAAGACAACACTTCCATCCATGCAAGTTCCTTTCACTCATTGAGAGGTGAGGTCCGTTTAGAGTGACTGAGCAACTGCAACTAGATATGGAGGATACAAAGTCGATCCAACTCATACGTACCGACCAGCCGTGGATGATGAATATAGTCTTGGCTGTAGCATTAAAGCCACACTCCTCTAGACATTCCTTCTTGCCAGTCTGCAGGTAGCAGCCCTCCTGCTCCAGGTCTAAACTCTTCCTCATGTTGTACTTGATGATGCCATTGAGAGCCTTGCCATCTGTTGATAACTCATCCAATCCACCGTCTTCACCTGAGGGGGAAATTACACAAAGTTAGGAAACGCTTGGATTAACTTTAACAACAAGACGAACAAATTAACCCATTTTATGTGCTTTTCTGATGCCTCCAATCTATTAAAGGATAAGAAACATTAATCTCAGAAAAAAATAAATAAAAAATGGCTCAATTTCAAAACACCATCCGGCCAATCATCCCTCACACTTGCAGGGAGCGGCTGAGACAGCCAATCAACTTGCTCTTGCAGCCAACATCTGCTACAATAATGCCGGTTGGGTGCAAGTTGTACCGGAGAGGCAGGCGCAGAGCCAAAATGCCACCGTCACCCTTCTCCTCTTCTTTTATTTCATCCTGTCTTTTGCACACCAGAGCTTGTATAACTATATCTGACTCTAACACCATGTGCTTTAAAGCTTGAGGCTAAAATGGTACAATTAAAAAGCATTTGACTGACGCAAGAAGCCCCAGAGGATTGGCTGTGAAAGCGCTTCACGGCAATAAATCAGACATCACCACAGCTCAGATTGTTCAGCATGATGTCTGCTTTACTCGCTCACTTCTTTTGAAAAAAAAATGTTAAAATGACTGATTTGAACATACAGCTTTTACAACTTATGGTTTTAGTTTTCTGGGTACTTGACAGTTTATCCACAGATTTTAAGAAAGAAAGAAAGAAAAATGAAATGCCCAATTATGGAAATGCTCCTAAAAAAAAAAAAGGTTTATTTTAAGACTGACCCAGTTTGTTTCTTATATAATAAACGTAATTGGTCTCTTTGTGTTTGATTCTTGATGAAAAGAGGGTTGAATTAATTAATACCAGTCTGGATTAATCCCGCCGCGCAGGGCAGAAACGTCAGATCTGAATGTTAAAATCGTGAACTCAACAGCCTTTCCTAATGGGCCACACAGACCAAAATGACTTCAGCTGGATAGTAAAAACGCTGCTGTGCGGTCCGTGGTAAAACGCGGATTCAGCGGAACAGCTTTCCAAATAGTTCACACAGACGTGGCGTTGTGTGTCCCGGAGCTCTGCGTCAAGACTCCCGCTGCTCTCCCAAAAAAGGACACGTCGCAGTCTTTTAAATCCATCCCCGTTCTTCTGGTTCACTCTGCCGCCACACTTGTTCGCTTTTGTAATTTAGCCCTAATAGCCCTAAACGAATGCAGATTAATTTATTTGATATTTAGGCTACTTGTTCTTAATTTCCCATTCACAGATTTCCCACACAGGCGCATGTTTGCCCCCCCCACACACACACACTTTACAAATGTGGCGCTTGATTCTGAAACTTCCATTTGAGCCATTTGAAAAATAAATGATAGAAATGAATGAACAATAGACACAAAGCCGTTTCTTACCTTTAAGGACAGCGTTTTCCCCAAGAGCGGTTGAGAAGAGCGCAGCAGCACACTGTAGGAAAATCCACAGTAAAAGGGCTTTATGATTCATTTCTCAGTCACAGACGAGTGTTTGAAGGAATCAAAAGCTTCCCGGGAGTGTACAATATCTTTTTGTTTTTTTGTTGTTGTTGTATGGCTCGTAGTAGCGCGGTAGGGTGAGTGAGTTTAGATCCAGTGGTGACAAAGAGCGACAGAGCCGGCGGTGCGTTTTCGGTGCGTGTCTGTAAAAGCACCGCTCAAGAAATGTATTATGAACTAGCATCAAGTGTGTGATTAGAGTTTTAAATAGTTTCCCCCTTCCCAGTCATCTGATCATCGGCTGATCTATCGTGGATCTTATTGGTCAAGCCCCCGTTTGTTTACGTTGAAAGGCGTGGCAACTCTCAATGAAGTTGTAGTGGCTTCTCACGTTGCGCGTGTTTTAACCCTGGGTGTGCACGGCTGACGCAAGCCGCCGTAAAGCATATCCAGTAGCTTAGTATTGGTATGAAGGTCATCACACCTTTTGTTGCCAAACCGGATTCAAACAATGTGTGAAATTAATTATAAACAGTTATTGAGCCCTATAAGACGCGCTGGCACGGGGAGGCTTACACAGAGAATGCGCTTTGACTTTTCTTATTTTAAACCCTTACAGTAATATGAACAACGCGAAAATCTTCCATTTGCGCATTATCATACGTGGGAAAACCCACAATCCCATTCTGCGCGTCGGTGGGGATGTTTAAAAGGCTCCGACCCGGGGGTGGGGGGATGGCGATCGTGGCTCCCCTCCGCCTGGCGCGCTGCCAAACCATCAGCTTAGCTCACCGACCGGTTTCATTTGATGAGGCGAAGAATGGGCGCACTCACGCAAGGGTCCCCGTTACAATAACACTACTGTTTTGTGTACATACATCAGCGCCCACTGCCCAGTAGGAAGTGTCACCTGCCGCCCCAGCAGCCCCTGGTACCTGGTATCTCCACAGCTTTTAGCATCTCTGACAACAAAGTCATGCTGCTGGTTACAATGTGCACTGGATCAGTGGGTTTTACGGCTCTGAGGGGTCAAGACATTTAACCATTCAGTGGCTGTGTGTCTCCCCACCCTCTTTATCATGGTCTCTATTAGGAGAGTTAAAGATTATGGTAGTGTCCTCAATTATTATTATTATTATTTTGAATATTTTGTATTATATTAGTTTTATCTTGGTTCTTGTGTTTATATGATCTATCTATCTATCTATCTATCTATCTATCTATCTATCTATCTATCTATCTATCTATCTATCTATCTATCTATCTATCCCCCCAAACTAAATGCTGCAATAATATTATCGTAGGACAAGGACATCGACACAATAACATCCTACAACTTGCAAAATGTTCCATATTGTGTATATACAGGATGCAGATGAGGGCATGTGTAGTTTACAACTTCACTGATATACTGATAATGTCAATACAGCTCTGGAAAGGACAAATGAGTCATCAGTGAGTGGAAGTTTTGGACCCACAATCTCTCGTTCATATTACCAGCTTCACTGTGACTTGGACTGACTTGAATAGAGCTTTTTTTTTAATCAAAACTTTTTAAACCAAACCAAAGCAATTCATATTCAAAATGTCTTTTTCAAGGGAGGAGAGCGAGGATGTGCGTGATACAAGGGCGTCCAAAATAACTTCCATCCTATTTTTACACACATATTTATAGCTATTCTGTACACTTGTGAGGACATAGCAGAAGGTGCGCGATGCTCCATCTCGAGAGGGCACTATAGTGCAAATGATGAGGTGAGCGTAGAGCGTACAATCCATCTTGCTCACTCACTCAGATAGGAATGGTTTCTTCATGGACATTAGTGATCTCTGCAGGGTGGTAGTCATTACTGCATCACAGGAAGCAACAGTTTTGAAACACTGGAAGATCTTTCGAGGAGATTATGACGTTGTAGGGGTAATTGAGGACAGACAGTTGTAATTAAACTTAATTTGGATTGCGATAAAACTACTTAATAAACGTCAAAGTGGTGGATAGTCCATCATTCTTCAGAAATAAGAGTAAAAAGACTTCCCAGAATCAGTCTGTTGGACAGACCCGATGTCAGACATTGGCAGTTCACTTCTTAAACAGGGTTATTGTTATTCTTTCCATCCGCACACCTCAACCAGCCGCCCAGTCTGAGTGCCAGTTTGATTCTCCACTATGCTGACCTGTCCTGATTTTGCACACAAGATCTGTATGGCAAAAGCCAACAATGAGGCACTGTGAAATACTAAAACAGTCAGGTTCTGTGGGGAGAGCAAATAAAGCGTAATTTAAACATCTTTATCTAGTGTCACCATGTTCAGACTCATTCCTGAAGTTATTGTCAAAAATCTTAGGAATGAGTCTCCTGAAGACAGAGCAAAGAGTTGCATATGGCAAAAAGGAGTCACACAAAGCTTTTGGCTGCCCTGTAATTCTTAGTTTGTGCTTAATGCAAAATCTTCCAAAATCCAATAACTTTTGAAATATTTTTGTGTGAGGCCTACATCATGTTTTTGCCTCTTTATGGGTTAAACAGCACCTACAATTACTGTATTTTATATATATAATCAATGAGATATAAGGAATCTCCCTGCATGTAAGCAGCTGTGCATTTGAGCTAGCTTGATAGCTTTAAGGTTTGAACAATTGAACATTAATATTATTTGTTTTGTTTTTTTTTAGCTTATCAGGTGATGGGCATTGAGCTTATGGTACTATTATTTATGTAGCTTATTCAGATATTCAGAGTAAATGACTGACATTCAGGTACTTACTATAAAGATCTATAAGCTAGTGTTATGGAAATGTTCTTGTTCACTGGTGAGCTTCTGAAATAAAGATATAAAATCAATATGCCTTTTTTTGATTTTATTTGTTATAAGAAAGGTCGTTCCAAACAAAGCATCAGGCAAGTGCTGGATGGAAGAGACAAAGAAGCACAGAGTAACTAATTCATAACAACAAAGGAAACAGTGTAACTCATGGGTTATTTGTTGAATAACATGTTACACAAGCATGTACATACCTTGTCTAAGGCACACGTCATATAAAGTACCTGTTTGGAATTTCCTCATTGTGGGACAAATAAAGGAATATTTTATAAGGCAATCTAATAATTTTCCATTACACTATGTTTTTAAAGGACCAGTGTGTAGGATTTAGTGACAACTAGATTCTTATTTTCAAATGATTACTACACACTAATGAAAACATACCATACCAGAATAATATTATATTCTGCCAATAGAGCCTCCTAAATGTTACACACTGCACCTTTAAAGCTTGTCTCAGTTCAGTTTAATGTATATTATTCCAATGATTTCCAGTCAGTCCTGTCTACATGACTTAAAACATATATTAGGCTACATATTAATATACACAATAACAAGATAATAACGAAATAAGAAACAATTTCAAACCCTGCGGAGGTCACTGTTTACCTCAGCTACCAACCTGCAAAGGCAACCTTCAACCAAGAATGAGACAACAGCGCCACCGTGTGGACAGAGGAGCCGTGCACCGGACAGTGACACAGCAGGAGGCGGAGGGGGGCAGTGAGCCAGACCGGATCCTTCATGAGGGAAGAGGCCAGGGACAGCCAGCCAACCCCGGCTTCTCTTCTCTTCACTCATATTATTCTGTATTGCAAGCCAGGGAGCCCGAGCAGGGGGCTGCGTTAGTGTTCATAGGATGTCCCGTCATGAAGGTAAGAACACACCTCAGCACGGAGGCGGGAGCGAGTCGGTGTTTGTGATTAAAAGCGTTGACAGAGCACCGCTAGCTCACGGTGGCTAGCAGATAATGTCTTGTTTTGCAGCCCATCCTAGCTAACGGTGGCTAGCGTTAGCAGCGAGGTTGCACTGTAATTTCGTGTGGACGCATTATGGCGGCCACAAAATGCGAATCTCACCCAGCGGAGCTCGCAGTGGACGTTGCTGTTTCTCGGGGGGGGGAGAAAAAGAAGTACAACAGTCAGCGTTACTCGAGCAAAACAACGCTGACACATTAACGGAGGAAGCTACTTAACGTTAGCTGTTAAAGTGTGCTAAGTTAGCCTGAAAGCTAGCTGGGAATAGGTTATGTAGGTTAGCGTTGACGAGCTGGGGAGCAAAGGGGGAGTGCCGAGAGTAGGAAACACAAGAGAGCAGCGAGTCCCAGATGGAAACCTGTCATATTGTTCACGTTTGCAGGTTTTCAGCCTCCTTCCCGGTGAAAGTTGGCCTTTATATTCCAGTTTCGCAAGCTAACATTTAGCAAACCCAACATTCACCTCGTCCTTGTGGCCAACCTTGTTGGGGCTTGAAGTTCGTTGTTAGTGAGAAGTAGACAGTCGGATAATAATGTCAGTGCATGTTTCAGCTCACAGACCGGTAAAAAAAAAAAAGTTGAGTCAGTTAGTCAAAGTCTACAACAGCTGTGTAGCTCGACAGCTAACAGTTCAGCTAAAGGTAGCTGGTTTATTGGTTTAATGTGAAACCGGCAGCGAAGGATAGTCAGGCCCGAGCGGCCTTTATTTTCCACGCCTGTGTTGTTGTTGTTGTCAACTTTACTGTCAGTTGTCATCAAGTTATTTATGTCTGAGATGTATGGGGATAATTATCGCTGCCATGAACGGTTCAGTAACAGCTAGTTGTACAGCAGGATCAGGTTGGCTCTGAGCTTCTGCAGCCTGCTCGCTATGAATGGAGATGAGAGGGAGTTTAAACAGCCCGGTGTCATACAATACACCAAGACTGCACGACTGTCCTAGTCAATCAAGAATTGCATGGGCTTGAACACCGGGGGTCCCCTTTACCCCCATGTGACACATTAGGTTAAACCTTTTCCTCTCCAAGTTTTGGAAATGAATATGTTGGTGAGGATGTTTTTTGTGAATGAGCGTTGTGTGTTTGTGTGTGTAGATTTATTAAAAGCTGAAAGAGGCAGGCAGTCTGTTGGTCACTCCTCAAACCACACACACATCCAATCCACCTCACCGTGTGCCTTCACCACCATGACAAAAAGCAAATGTACAACAAAACAGAAACACATGAGAGTATAATTAAATCCAGTAAGAGTTGAGTCAACTTCAGTCACAGCCTCAATTAAAACCTGACACTACTGTATACGGATGGAGTATTTAGCACCTTTCATCCCGTAGTGATCTGGGATATTCCAACACAACAATGTGGAGCAACCAGTATGTCTTTTAATAGAAAAAGGGCAAGACACACTGCATCATGTATTCACCCCTTCGCAGGAGACTCCACATTTTTCCTATTAAAATGCCATTTTTGGCCGCCGTTTGTCTTTGATATTTTTGTGTCTTATCTTTCTTTCCCCAGGCGTCAGCTGTGATGCATGTTTAAAAGGAAACTTCAGAGGTCGACGATACAAATGTTTAATTTGCTACGACTACGATCTGTGCGCATCGTGCTATGAGAGCGGTGCGACCACAACCAGACACACCACAGAGCATCCCATGCAGTGTATATTAACCCGAGTGGACTTTGGTAAGTAGACTTGATACTCGCATCAGGCTAATTATGAGCACAGGTTGAGAAAATGTGGGAAGTGAAAGTTTGAGCCTTGTGTCATTCAGTATGATGATATTTGTTGCTGTCATTAATACTGTTTGCCAACACTTTACATCAATAGACGGATGCTGATAATTAACTGACAACCAGGCAAGGAAATACAGATGATGAATTCAACGTATGGACATTTGCTGACTGTGTACAGTGCAGTTCTAAAAATAACCCCAAAGCAGACAGACAATATCTATAAAGTGATTCTCTGTCGTTTGTCACTTGAATGTCAGTGTACGTCTGAGTGAGACAGTGCCTTAAGCTCAGTCTCAACATTAAACCCCCCCAAAAAAAAGTGTGATCTGCATCTAATGGGGCAAGGTAGGTCTGTATGTGCAAGTGGTGTGATGGGTGATAGACCAGATGAAAGACTGACGTGACAGAATATAGGAAAGGAAAGGAATGAATAGCTTTATAAACAAATGATCTGACATTTTTATACTTTGTTTTCAGATAGAACAGCTGCTCCCAAATAGCTCAGCAGTGACTGAGTTGTACCCAGAACACCTGAGGAGTTTTTAGGAGAGTGTTATTGGGCTTCTTGGTTCAATGTGGCAGCAATGGGGATATAGAGTTCGATCTGAACCAGACCACACTTACTGTCACTACTGATAATGGTGAACGTGGCATTACAGTGGACGTGCTATCATCAAATGTAGTAAAATGATGGGGTTGATTTGAATGGACCATTTCTCTTGCTTGTGGATGACCGCTCCTACAACTGATTCAGACACTGGAGCTGTGAAATATGTTGGTATTCAGCCTTTTACACATCGGAAATGCTGTTTCACAGTCTGTTGAAAAAAATAAAAATACAAACTGTTGCTGCAAACACAGCAGAAGGTGCTGGCTCATAAATGCGGTCTTATTTTTGTGGTTGTGTTTTTTTTTTTTCACTGTATTTTCAGTGTGCCTGTTGATCCTCCACCAACTGCACCAAGGTTGTTTTATGGTGGATCTCAGTATTTGCATACACACTTCAGTTTAATGTCGACCCAGACCCGTTTGGTTCAGTCTCACCACTGTAATCAACGTTATTTCCAGCCGATAAACCACAGTGCCTGACCTGCCCACCACCACATAGCAGCCGGACAAAGGTAGCAACCAGCTGGTGAACATAGTGGAGCATGTACTACATATATAACCCGATATTTTCTACAGAAGCTGGTGGAAACACAACAGAGCTAGTGGGAAAGTGAAAACTGGACTTTGATTCATCAGGTGGACACAAACACTACTCCAAACGAATGCTAATGGTGCTTTGTATCTGCTGGATGTGTACATGGTTATAGTCCCTCGTCATTTAAATCATTTTGTGCAGGTTTTAACTAAAGCTATTGTGAAAGCTAAATGTTGCTGTCATTAAATGGACCGTTGTAATCAGTCCTTTAGCTCTGACAGCCTACTTACAGGTAGTTGAATGTGAGGCTTGGGAATGTTTTATCATGATTTGTGTCCTGTAATGTGGCAAAACTTGCTCTTAACTTAAAGGTATCTCTCATTCATTAAACCTGTCTGAATTTAATCTATGTATTAATCTTGTCCAAATGGGCTTTAACGTGACTTCATGTGTGGTTACACCTTGATTTAAAATATGCCGTCTGAAGCTTTACCTCTCTGTTCTTGTCAAACTCCCTGTAGTAGTGTCCACGACTCTTGACTTTGAGATTTGATCATGTATGATTCTGTGGCAGCTGTGATGAAACGTTGGTCCCCAACCACAGGGATGGACTGAATGCCATGTCCATCTTGATTCCCCTCTAGACCTGTACTACGGAGGTGAAGCGTTCTCAGTGGAGCAGCCCCAGGCCTTCACATGTCCCTACTGTGGCAGGATGGGCTACACAGAGATCTCCCTGCAGGAGCACGTGGCTGCAGAACACACAGAGACCTCCACAGAAGTGGTAAGTTGGTGCTGAAGCTTCACACACAGGCATCTAGAAAACCTAGACTAAATGTTTGCACAGATCGTAGCACCTGGAAACATTTACATCCCTCAGAATCTAATTTTACCTAATTTTCTAAATTGAATAAATGTCCCTCACATTAGAGGAGCCCGTAGGTTTTGAAAGTGTGCTGCAGTATGTTTACATCTTATTCATCGTCCTTGTCTCGTTGTGGCTTCACAATGTCAGTCGAGCATAGTTTTGATGTCAGGTAGACTGTGCAGCTCTATTTATAAACACTCTGCTGTTCTTCTGACAGCTCATACTTTAAAGAACCATAGCCTGTGCACTGTACACTCCATTTTACTACTGACATTCTTCCAATACTTGAGATTTATTGTTTCTGTGTGCTGCTGCTTCTTTCCACACAACCTCTGATTTCCTTTTAATTTTGGAAACATACGTAAATCAACTGAGAGGTCCATACCAGTATAATGAAGTGTGTTGGAGTGCCACATTAAAACACTCTCATACAGATTGAAGACATGATGAATAGTTCTGTTAAAACAGTGTGTGTTGGTTTAGTTAAGTTACTTTGAAGATGCAGACCCTGTCCCCAGCATTGTGTCTATGCTACTATCAGTGAAATGTTCTCGTGCCTACCTCTGTGGCGTTGGAGTCATTGACAGTCATAACTCACATTAGCTGATCTGAAGCTAAAGGTGTCTTTACTGTGAGTGACTATTCATGAGTAAATGACTGTGAGGGTAGGCAATGAATGTCGTATGAAAAATATTATGTAGTTCCTGATCACAAATATTGTTTTGGTTTGTCACGTTGTGCTAGCCTTCAGGGAATCACAGTAAGTCGTTGTCCTTCTAATGAAAAAAGGGATGTTGGGTAAATACTTCACCCATCTGTTTTGATGTCAGCACTGGAAGCTAGCTCGGCTAATTGGCACTGTCAGCCTTTTAAATACAGTAACGTGATTAGAGATACACTGATCGATTAACTGCTGACTGGAATCCAGTGATTCCATGAGTCTCTGTGTCGGTCAAATTTACACACGCTATGATGGTTGATGTGCACAGCGGCACAGACAATAACTGACACACACAAGATAACTCATGTCACAGACGTGGACGTTTTTTACCGCCAGTGACGAAGACATAATAAGACTCCTCCACACATGGCTCACCTGCAGCTGTGGAAACGGAATAACTGCTGAAAAAATCCTGAAAAAATGTTTTTTGGGGCGAATTTATGAAACATAGTGCTGACATTCTGAAAGTCGACAGAGCAGACCCATGCTGGGAGAGAGAGACAGAAAGAGGCGGAGCAAGCGGGCGTGTTTGCACAAAGACAGGTGGAGGTGTGTGGAATACATCTGACTTTTCCATTAAAGAGGTACCCCACCCTAAAACATGTTTTTTCAGGTGTAAACTGAATTATATGACTCTACTGTGATGAAACGCATCAACGCTGGTTTTATTTATTGTCTCTCAACACGCCCTCTGTATACTGATCGAGACGCATCGTTCACAAGAGTTCATGCTAGTTTTTATAACCCTCTAGTATTTTTCTCTTCTGGCTCAGTGTTTGGACTTGTGCTTTAGACGGGTGTAGAAACACCACTGGACTGCTGTGTTTACCTTGATCCCACACACTGACACCCCCCCCCAGAGACTCACCCGCATACTGAAGAGTAAGCCTCTCTGAGCTGTCAGCTCAGCTACAACACGGACACCACACAGAAACTTTTACAAACGGCCGTCAAAGTGACTTACAGTGACTGTAAAAGCTCCAGCAGACTCTGTATCTGACAGCAGCAGCTCATTAGCTCTGACTACCAGCCACTGTTTCTGCTACGCTGCTGTCTGTCAATCACTCCGGTCAGTGTCCAACCACGTCCCCTAAAGTCACTGTCCTTTGCAGGTCTCTGATGCATTTTTAAAATTTGCTGAGAGGAAGGGAGCTAGTACAACTGAAAGCATAGCTGCACTTTAAAGGAAACTTACAAAAATGTTTGCGTGTCAATTATTGCAAGTTCATCACATGCATCACTGCTTTTCACAGTATCCATGGTATAACAGTACAGCTCATACGTCACTCTGTTTAGCAGCTGACTATCAAATTGTTGATTGCGGGGCTTCCACCAGCAAATGAACTCGCCAACTCTCATTTAAATTCATCCAGAGTTTAGACACACTCAATACAGAGCTGGAGCGTTCCTGAGATTGCATCTCTTCATGTTTAAATATGGAATTTGTACAGTAGATATTTACCAATGCCTGTGTTTGTTCAAGAGGACCCAGCAGCAACTGGTGAATATTGTGCATTGAAGTGTGCTGAGATTAACGTGTACACACTCTCTTCCTGTCCTCTAGATCTGCCCCATATGTGCAGCGCTGCCAGGTGGCGACCCCAATCATGTGACAGATGACTTTGCTGCTCATCTCACACTTGAACACAGAGCTCCCAGAGACTTGATATCCTTTTCTGCTGCAGTAACTACAAAAGCTGTTAATTTGTGTTTCCGTTGAGTGAAGAGACACAGATATGTCATACATATTCCGATACTTATGCTTATATTACATGAAAGAGGTGATGCAGTTTGTGTCATCCAGGTTGCTTTGTCATTTTAAAGATTCGAGCACCGGGGAGGCATCTGTTCACTGAAACTGACATTTGTTGACATTTTGCTAATCACATTAAAGCCTCCTGTGGTAGTTTTCCAAATCACCGTGGAGGGTGAACATGAATGAGGTAAAGTATCAGAATGTGTGCATTAATGATGTTACGGCTGTTGTGCTGTTTGTAACTAAATTATGTGTCTCATGCCATTGTGACAAACTCAGATTAATTAGATGCACGCGGTTTGCCATTAGTCTGCTGCAGAGACGAGGAAGGGCAGAGTGGAAGCCAAGTTGTCCTTATTCCCAAAGCCCTGAGAGGCAGTGGTAAAAGAACTAGATTATGAAATGTGCAGTTCAGTGTTGTTGACCACCAACTCAGTTTTTAGTGTCACCACAATGCCTGGCCTCATGTTAACTTCAATGAAAATGTTTCCAATGAGTTTCACATAGAGAGGTAGACAGGTTTTAGACAGGCCTGGTATCGGATTGGTACTTGATATTAGAATCAGTATCTAGAGAGAATAAGTTGAAAAGATGCATCTCTAATAGTTTGCATTGTTTTAGTCAGCCGTTCTGCTGCCATGTCACATGCATTCCTGCCCACTACAGAGAGCAGTAACAGTTGTGGGCATAAAAACATTACTTGATTACTGTGGAATCTCATTAAAACTCGAGGCTCTGTTTAAATGTATTAATCAATTATATTCCAGAAATGTGCACTCATCCTCTTCATTCCTTTGAGGTTGAAGATGCAGTTCATACAGGAATTTACATAAGTGTATGAGTGCACTTCTGTTGCTCAGGAGATCCACAGAAAGGAGATGTTTTTTTCAAGAATTCGTAAGGCAGTGTGCATTTAGTTTTTATCAAATTGTGTGAAGGATTGAGATGACAGCATCTGCTCTGCCTGTCTGGAATCAGCTGAAATACTCATAGGACTGACGACAGCAGTCTGCCTATTTATAGTACTTTGAATAAGAAAAAACAAATAATAATAAGAGAAAACAAAAGATGCAAAAATGTAGTTAAATTTAACACCAAGTTCATCATAAGTCTATTGTGCATGGGTACATAGTGACATGGGAGCACTTCTGATTCAGAGGGCCGGAGTGTAGCGAGCCCTTGCAGGAGTTCTGTGCTGAATCTACAAGCTGATGTTTTACAGCATTTTAAAAAAACGTATATCTTTGGGTTTTGGACTGTTGGTTGGGCAATATAAATTGAAGATAATCATCTCGGGCTCTGGGAGCTAACGATGAGGCATTTTTTCCCATTAAATGTGTAATCCAAAGGCAAAATGTCAACAATGAAAACGAGGAGCTGTAGCACCATTACGCTCTTGATGTGTTCCTTAATGGCGAGCTTCACGATGAGTCCAGTGGGGTGCGGCATGTGAGGAGGATGTTTCATCCCGGGCGTGGGCTGGGGGGTCCGCGAGCCCGCAGGTCTAACATGCACTTCACCAGCAGCACCACAGGGGGGCTCTCCACAAGTCAGAGTTCCTCACAGAGCTCCAACTACAGCAGAGAGGCCATGGACCCCATAGCAGGTCAGTCACACACACACACACAGGAGTCATGGTTGCATGGTATACTAAAAAAAACTATTTCTGTTATTGGTACAGTCAGGCAGAAAAGAATTATTTATACAACATATAAAACACTGACACTGAATCATTTGTGTGGCCCTCATAAATAGAACATTTATGAGTGTCTTTAATATAAATAGTTTCTCTCCATCATATAGATAAATTACCTGCAGTAGCACAGATAGTGTACAAGCCTGGTTTGTGTTTCTGTGTCTGCATAGTACATAGTAATGTGTGGGCAGAGTTGTTGCTGTGGCAATTCCTTGTTTATTCTGTTCCCTATTTTCATCTGGTTCAGTGCTTGGCATTCGCCATGTCAGCTCCAGCTGTGCCATAATGAGGGTCCCTGTTCAGTCTGCCTCACAAACAGGGTACCAGCCTCCTCTCTAATGACCCGCTATACCTGCTGGGCCGTTGACCTGGCTGGTGGACTTTTAGCTGGGAAACCTCCCTGATGAGTCTTTTGAGCTGTAGTTGTAGTTGTGTACCGATCAGAGGCTGCACAGCGCTCCTACTAGATTGTGTTTCTCATTACAGCTCTGTGACAGCGTGGCTATAAAATATGACAATTTGTACATTTCTTACCAATTCATCTCCATGTTTTGTAATGTAATGCTTTGTATGTCGTTTGTCTCACTTCTGTACATTTCTGTGTGTTTCGCTAATGTTGCTCATGGCTGTTTCTATTACATACACGCTTTGTGATATTTTGGACTATCTTCAGTTTGTATGATCTGCTGAAGAACTGTGTTTTCATGAGAGCCTACTCTCTGGTAAACTGGTATACTGGCATCTCTGCTGTACTCTAGCAGTGGTAATGGTTGGAGTGGAAGTGGTGCAGGTTCGTAGCACAGGACTGAATTGAGCAGCTCTTTGCGCCTCATTATAATCATCATCATTTCTGACATTAAGCCCTTCTCCATTTTCATCCTCCAGAGCTGCTGTCCCAGTTGTCGGGGGTGCGGCGTTCAGCAGGCGGTCAGCTCAGCTCGGGCCCATCGGCCTCCCAGCTCCAACAGCTTCAGATGCAACTCCAGTTGGAGCGTCAGCAGGCCCAGGCGGCACGTCAGCAGTTGGAGACGGCCCGAAACGCAACCCGGGGCGGCGGTCGAGCCAATGCAATCCTCAATACCAATTCAGCCGCAGCAAACCCCAATCCCAGCGCCAACCACAATACCAACCCCAGTCCCAACCCGGGTCCACCTGAGTCCAACACACAGCATAATGCACATAGCTCCCAGTTTCTACTCAGCAGGTGTGACTGTCACTCTAATTGTTTTGTATCTACTTTAAATGTCTTTACTTTAAAGTCGCCTTCCACTTAAAAGTTGTTTAAGGGTGAAGGTTTCTCTGCTCACCTTAAAGGTGACAATAAAGTTTCTGTTTACGTTCAGTGTTACTGAAACTAACTGCTGCACTTATTCCACATTACCACCACCTGTCATTCAGTGGAGGAATGTGAAACAATTGGGAGGAATGTGTATTGCGTTTGTATATGCACTCTGTGACAAATGCAAATCCAATCATTAAAACATGACTCTACAGCACTACTAGTGGTGAAAACAACACACAGCGTATACAAGTGTGATGTGGAAACTTACAACCTCCACTGCACATTTACTGAGAATGGACTTTATAGTGAAGCACCAGACATCTTGTGTCCAGCAGTTTTTGAAATGAACAATATTTGGATATCATGGATTTTTCAGTCAGAGTGAACGAGTAGATCCATTTCTGCTAATAGCTCCTCCTTAACGTTAACCACTGGACCTTTAAAATATCTCCAGGGGATCTCCAAGATGTATTTTTTTTATTCTTTACTGTCACCCGATGTGTCATCCATTCGTCTTCCTCCTTATTATCAACTGTCACATGATCCTCTCGCCTCTCGTCTCTCCCGCAGGCTGAGCGAACCGCGGCTGTCTGAGGCAGAGCGGCAGGCGTGCGAGGCCCAGTGGGCCGACCGGAGCCTGTTTGTGACGGAGCTGCTGCTGTCAACGCTGCTCCCCGACGAGGACGCCTCGGCCTCTTCCTCCGAGGACGAGGACGACTGTCACGGCTCGTTGCGGAATTTCGCTGACTTCGAGGCCATGGGCTGTGTTGAGGTCATGACCTTGGACGTGGCACTGGAGAACCTCAACCTCAAGGAGACGACCCCGGCTACCAAGACGACGAAAACTACGACTAAAACAGCACCAACGAAGAAAGAGCCTCCCGCGCCACCTCTTTGATGACATGGCCACTCTCTCTCTCTCTCTCTCCCCTCAAACCACCATTGTAACTGGCTGACTGCTGAGTCGGTCCAACTGCCAATGGATGACAAAAAAGACTGCAGTTCTTTTTGGCTTTGTTTTAATATTTTTTTTCTCAGTGATTGTCATTTCAGCTCTGTCGCTCCCCACTCAACCCCATGTTTATTACGTTGTGTACATTGAATAAAAGTAGTGAGACGAGAGAATGTGAAAGCAAGCAAGCGTGGTGGGTGCGTGAGAGAAAGAAAAATAACTATATAAATATATTATAGAAAAATCTATATGAAAGTTGATAATCAATTCCACATAACCCGTGTTTTTCTCTAGCAGATGAGCAAAGCGTAGTTAGCCATTTTAAGAGACGAACACGTCACACACTCACCCAGGGAGAGGAGGCAGACAGAAACCTCTCCCGTTTAAAAACGCTGCTGTGTATTTATAGTTATTAATTAAAGAAGTGCTTGGATGGTTTACCACAACTTGAGCATGAGCTTAAATCACCATGTGCCCATTTCTAACTGCACAGTCACTAGATGGGGAGGTCTTTCTCCGTTCAGACACCTGAGTAACTGTAAATGAACGGTGCTGAGAGCCACGTCACTGGCCTCCCTGCACCACACACACACACACACACAAACAGACTGACGGCTGCGTTTGGTTACATTCACGTCCGGTCTCGACCCTCCTCCCCCCCTCCCCCCTGTGTGACATCACCTGTTTTGGGTCATGTGACCTTGCTTTATATTGACTGTGGGCACTTTGGTTTTGAATTGCATATCCAGTGTCCATTTGTGTACACTACAGATGCTCTACATAAAGGCGTTACACAACCCCCCGAGACAAACGGATGAAACCGTCTCTTCAGTGTGACCATTTTCTGGCCTTTTCTAACACGGAAGAAACACAACACATACGGTTGTTTGTTTTTTTGTTTTTTTTTTTGTTTTCCCTCTCTCTCTCTCTTTTATGGAAGACCAGATGCTACTCTCTCAAGCTTCCCGTGATCTGAAATTAATCTTCTCTCCATTACTCATGAATGCAAAGATTACTTATCATGTGACTTGAAGGAGAGAATCCTGTATTGCTCTTTCCATTAATTTCTCTCAGTCAGAAAGATCTTTGTATGCCTCCACTGCTACCTGAAGAAATGCAATGTATGTTTTTGGCTCAGCGAACAAGCCAAATCACAGGGTAAACCTTTCAGTTTGGAGGACAATAAAAATGTTTTGGATGGAAATGAACTAACCCAATCCTGCTCTGGTTTGTGTTTTTACTTTCTTTTCTTTCTTTTTTTCAGTTGCTAACTTCTTGGTGAGCATGTACAGCATATGGTAAAAATAAACACCTATCTTACAGGTCAAGTTCAATCTCAATTAGTCTTGTCATCTCCTGATGCATGTCCTCATTCACCGCAGCAGCGCCACATCAGATTAACAAGCTAGACGAAATCAAGTCCAGGTGATAGTGGACTGAAGAAAGGATGACAGAAGATTTCACTTTAACCATGAAACCTTGAGTACCAATTTGGCATTATCGTTTCATTTTCAAACTTCTAGTCTTCAGCTCCAACCGATGCTGCCTCGAGTTACATCACTGGAGGCAACATCTTCATCCTGGACTTGGTCAGCCTCTTGGTAACAACTGTTAAAGCCAATGGAGCTATGGTTGCTGATGTTACAATAAAGACTGGGTGAGCTGAAAGGGGCAATTATGTACCAAGCACACAGGGTACTGTATATAATAGACCTTTTTCACAGCAGTCTGACATAAAATAGGGTTAACACAGGTGTTACCAACAATAGTGATTCAGGTCAAACGGTGTCAGGGTGCTGTGATTGTGTATGCTCACTCTGCTGCACTAAATGGAACAGAACCTTAATTAGTATCATTTGTAACAGTTCACTAGTTAGCATGCCACATTAAACGCCTAAAAAGAACAAAAATAGCCATTTCTTTGTTCTCCAAACACTGAATTCACTTCTATTTTTATGTCATTGTGTCATGGAAACAGACCACGCAGAGCCTGAGAATCTCACACATCAAAAGGTAAAAATCCATGATATGTCTCCAATAACAAAACTGCTGATTTCTGAGCTTGTAATCTTGATCTTTGGGAACGCTGTGTAACAAAATAATAGAAGATCAGAGGTCTACTTAAAACCTCAGTCATCCTCTTTTGATGGTGTTCTTTCCTGGTGTCTAGTCCCTCTTTAAGTGTCTCTCAATATCACACACATACACCAGTGGAAGTGAAGTTGCTGGGCTTGGGAAGTAAAGTGTTTGTAGTCCATATATAACAACATTAAGATCAGTTTTTTTTGTTGTATGCCAAGAAGACAGCAGCTTCCACTATTACATTTCAAACAATTCAAACATCAGGAAAAAAGTAATGAGAAATATTTGCTGGAGGATAATGCAAATGATGAAGAGACTAGAATCGTTTTGTAAATAGAGTTAAAGGAGAGGTCTCAGTCAAAATACTTGGCTTTCACTAAGTCACTATATGCAAAATGAAACTGGACAACAGGCTGCAGTCAGACACATCAATGCAAAGACAGGACGCAACTAACCAAAAATATAAATGTCTTAGGACAGAACAGTCATGTACTTATTCTGTAGCAGAAAAAAACAATACAATTTAATTTCAGCCGGACTTTAAAAACACGCTGAAAGTTTAAATTTTAGTCACTTCATATTACGCCGAATGTTTAAAGTAAAAAAAAAAGTGAACCAGAACAACTGCTATATTAATTAGTTACAATGACAACATACAAGCTTCTCCCTGTTTTTTTTTTTTTTAGTCACCATAAACCACAAGCTGGAGTTAAATGGACTTCCTGATCCCTGATGAGACTTTGTGAGGAGTCACACTTTATCACAGCTGCAGGGCTTTTCTGTTGTCAATTAAGATGAACACAAGAGCCACAAATGAAGAAATCAGGATGAACAAATATCTTTCACAGACCACGAACAATGTCACTGTTTCTGAGACGCTGCAAACCCCTGCAGGGAGGTTATGGTTTCCATTTCTTTTTGGTTACTGATTTAACCAACATGAAATGGAAACCATTATCCCCTTGAATGTAAATGGTGTCACTTGCTGTGTGCCAGCATCAAACCAGCATTTTTCAGCGTTACTGTAGAGACGTCTTAAATTAAAGCCAGCAGACAGCCGCAGTGCTGGGAACTTAAAGTGCAATCTGTGCCAAGTCACTGAATTATTATCTGAGCTCAAAACCCCTAAATAACAGCAGCCTGAAAAGATGTGGCAGATTAATTCAGTCTTTAAAGAGGGCAGTTGCCGTAGGAAACCAAATGCATGCAAAGTGGACGGAAATGAGCAGAGACACAACCACAACATTAACTCTTTTAAGGCACAACAATATATTACAGATAACCAAAGCAGTCAAAAAGTGCTCAGTGAGGTTACGTAGAACGAGATTTCTGGGAGTTAAATAAATCCTGTGTATGAGTTTAAAATGACCCATTTGATCATTGATTGATCGGGTTGTTTCAAACTGTTTGAAATACATTTCCAGATGTGGGGTTGTCAATCAAATCTGTTCAAACCGCACCAGCAGTCTGTGTTAAACTCTTAAAAACTATGAACTAACAATGTTTTTGTTACATATTGATAATGGTAAATACTAAATACTTTAGATTTTAAACCAATTTTAGGGGCTTTAACAGCTAAATAACATTGCTGCCTTAGTGTTTGTAGCCATTAAAGTATGGAACTGGTCCCTAAAAACACGTTGCCCCAGATGTTTGAAAGCCTGTTTTATGAAGATTAAAACAAACAAAATAGTAGGAGTTCATGGAAAATTGTACGCCATACACAAATCACCACATATATCATCTTGCTGCAGCTGTACAGTGTGTGAGTGATAAGGCAATACGTATTTGATCACATACAAACACAGAAAAGGATAGAAAATGTTATATCTTGAACTCAAGCACATCCTTCCAAAAATAAGACACACAACTCAGTGGAGGTTAGGTATTCTTTGTAATTTTAATTCCCATAATTTAGTTTAAATGCAGACATTTTTTCACGAAAATCTTAAATAAAACATTACAGTACGATATATGCAAATCAGAAGAGCTTTAAGATTTCGTAGAAGCAGGCTACAGTTTCTTTAGATTTTTTATTCGTTTATTTATTTTTTTAACTTTTGAAGGACCGGACAGTTAAATAGCAGTAAACAGTAAGAAAGACAACACAGAGCTGTAAAGCCTGCAGGCCAGCCAAGGAGCACATTCTATTACAAAACAGACCAGAAAACTAGAGACAGCACGCCACATCCAGATGAAGGTCCGAACTGATGCCCCTCCACCTCTGTGAGGTGGTGCTAGTTCCATACAAACAGGAGAGGGCGCTATTCCACCAGGGCAGGTGGAGCTACACAACCACAGAGTGACAGCAATGTAGTTGCACCTTCACAAGAAACAGCTCGTATTGCACATTCAGGGAGAAAGAAATGGCACGTTGTTATTTCTCTACAGAAAGGTTACAAAACAGTTAGAATGCAGTAGAAGCACAGTAACTCCCTCAATGGCAATGACACCATTCGTTGATTTATATCAGTTGAAACGCACTGGTCTAAAATGCTGTCCCTCTCTGTGGGGAGGGGAAGTGGCGGACTCCGCCATCTAGTGGCTGCATTCATACCTAACACATTTATTTATTTTAAGATCATCGCAAATCTTATTTGCAGTTCTTAGAGTTATTGGCTTTAAGGATACAATATGAACTAAAATCAATTATCTATAATTTATAAGATACTTTGACTGAACAAGGTCAGTTAAAGGCCCTGAAAACCCATTTTGTCAATGAGCTTCTTCTGATGTCCAACATAAACATACAATTTTCTTATGATAAGTTATGCCTAACAGTTTTGGTTATTTTCACAAGACATTTCTGTACTCCACGCCAATCATTATAAATAAACACGTGACATTATAAAACCACTTCTGATGAAGCCGATTAGCTGAGTTTTTCGAGTGTTAAACTTCTATTAAATAATACCTATGGATCTCTTTTCCAAATTACTGGCATTATTGTTAATTGAAGCTTTTTAGTCATCAAAACAATATTTATACAACAAGGTACGTTTCTTGGGGCTTTAATATATTAATATACACTAATATTTGCCATGTAGGATTGTTTTATATTCAATTTCAGCCATTACGATCTAATGCATTATATTTATAACGCTGCCACCGGAGGACGATTTTCACTTTCCCTCCCCATCATGAGCAGTGCATCCCTTTTGGCCTATCAGGACTGAAAATGCATGAAAAAACAAAGAATGACAGTGTGAGTTACAAAGGGGGGGTAGCCTGCAGAGCTTGGTGATCCAACATGAACCCGAGATCTGAAGAGTGCTGGCTGGCATTCACAAATCAATCTCATAATCCAACACGAGGAAAGTGGATTCAGTCTCTTTTCATTGTTTACTGAGCTACACACAAGAGCAACAAACGTTCACTAGGTGCAGCCAGTTTGCCTTTCCTGTTAGATGGGTTTCTGCTACTGTTAATGAGCTACCACATGATTTTACCCTCCACACAGACTCACGGTAGATGTAGGTGTTACATATTAACACATTAATCATTGTTTAATCTTGGATAAATGATCATGTGCTCAAATGTTACTGTCCGTTATAGAGGTGCATGCCTATTTATTTCAGAATATGAACAAAAATAGGTATCAAAATCTTTTCTGAAGACATGAAAAAACCCTCTACGGCAAAATCCCTTTGCCCGGTTCAGTTTAAAGATTCACAACGAGACATTGCAGCTGTGTGAACTGGTAGTCTCAGCTCGACTCTAGCCTGCTGATGGCGGCGTGCAACTCAGCTTGTCAAAGGACGTAAGGCATGTCACTTGTTTCAACATCAGCTCATTGCAAAGTTAGCAGGTCGAGTCAGTTACAGTTTACTGTCAGCTGGTCAAACGTTTTTGGACGGAGAGAAGAAAGGATCACCTCATCAACTTGTTTGACAAAAACCTTAAAATCTACCCATGGATCCATGGATGGCTCCAAATTCTTGTAACTGTGGTTAAAGTAACTCACCATCATTATCCTCATTTTACATTTTAGGACGCTACAAATTAAATCCAGCTAGGAAAAAAAAGCCTGAAAAGTCGCTGTAATGGAGACGATACACTGTCTGTATAGTTGCATTGTTGTCGTGGACTGGCAGGTTTCTGAATGTTGCAGACCAACGGATTGCAAGTAGTTGCAAGTTTCAACTTGTCTCATTGCGAATGTTTGGTCTGAACTGGGCTTCAGAGGAGAAAACGAATGCAAAGTGTGGCGATGTTTGAATGACACTTTCCATCAAGTTAGTGAGACATTTTGCACCCCTTAAGTTTACAGTCATCGCTCCTTTAAGAGGCATGGGCTAGGTTTAGCTTCAAGCAATGGCAATGCACCCGTTAAAGCGAGACTATATAACTTCTGAAAGAAGAAATTACAAAATCCTCCTTTTACAAATGAAAAGATTAGTCAAAAGTTGTAAAACATTCCCTTGTTCGATTCAATATTCTCAGTGGTTTTGCTGCTAGCTTGGTCTGGTAGCTTGTGGTTAGCTTGTGTAGACAAATATTGCTGTGTATTTGACACTACTCAGTGCCCCTTCTCTTCTTGTGCTTGTTACTGCATTTTTTAGCACATTTACTTTGGGGAGGAATCGGTCTTAACAAAACCAGACTTCCTGTGCATTATGAGATTTCTTTTTAAAAGTAGTTCCTCCAGGAACCTTTATTGTACAAGAGTACAAAGAGAATTTGAACACACCAGCTCTGTGCAGCCCCCTGTGTAACACACATCCTGTGAAAGAGTAAAAGGGTGTGAGCTTCAAGAGTGGTTACCTGCCAAAACAAGGAAACATTATGTCCTCACAGTCCAGTTATCAGTTACCAAGTTTAAGATTTAAGTTTCTCGACTACAGAGATTTTGCTTCAAGATTTCGCCTTCAGTGAGCAGTCGTCCAGGTTTTAGCAAGATGCTGTCCTGCTCTCACAGCTCATGATCAAAGCAGTAGGGAAACAAAATTACAAAGTGTTTTCATCTAAAATTCAAAAATAAAAATGGTAAATTTAAAAATCTGATCTATTGGCAACCGACACGTCAATCTACATGTTAGAAGAACACACTGGGCTTTGGACGAAGTGTGGCACATGGCACCAGCGAGGTGAGACGTCCTGTAATAAGATCATTTCTCAGTATCACTATGATCTCATAACAACCAGTCCCCGTTTTTTCAATTTCCCATCGACCCCCACAGTGTGTCCTCTAAAGTGTCCGGAAGCTCGCCCAGGTTAAAACTCAGATATGGTAGAAAAATATATAGTCTTGATGAAATTTCTCTAGTCATTCTCTTCATTACTGAATTGCACCCATACATGTAGTGTTAACACATTGTAGTAGCAGTGTAAAGTGACAGGGATCATGATTAGCACGACTACTACAACAAAAACGAGTCATCGCTCGCACGCTTGCTCTCTTTCTCTCTCTAGACACTTCAGGTTATTTTTTTTTTACTTGCACTTAAAAATTCATGGTTAATAGTTTGTCTTTCATTGGCATCATTAGGCAACAGTTTTTTTTCAGATACTCTACAATATGGTTACAATGTAAACACCACAGTACTTAATAATTTTACTGTATCTGCACAAAATAAAACACAATGTTACAAGGCAAGTGGCTACTTAAGCATAGATTTGTTCATGAGAGAGAAAAAAAAAATGAAATTAGGAAACACACCACAAGAAGAAAAAGAACTTGCAACACCTGGCATCGAGTTTGTTCAAATAAAAAAAGCTTTAGACTTTGTTCATCTACAGGTCAGGTGACCCTGTTAAAAAGCTGGTGATGATCAGTACTATCCCCGCTGATACCATCTCATTCAAACATAATGATCCGAAGACAGAAGTCTTTTGATATTTTCGTGACATGAGCGGCCTCAAAACCCCCGACTCAGCCCTCGACTAGACCTTATGATATCTACCTAACCTTTAGCACTTAGATTGAAACATAGGTGATCAATAGACTGAATGCTTCTACACTTCAAAACACCAGCCCATGTTGAGGAGCTACACGTGTGGCTGGGGTTGAATCCCCTCTCTTTCCACCTCTGCATAATTGGCTGATTTATAATACAACAGTTTTAGTGTTTGATATGACACGACATGACAAAGGCTTTAACTTTTGGAGGCATCTTGAAAGCCGGAACTCAGATTTGTCACATGAGGGCTATGAGACAGGAGGGTCAGGGCTACAGAAACAGATAAACCCTGGACTAAGACGAGTAATCTGACTGCTGATCAGGATGGGAGATCTGAAATGACCGGAACATGGACAGTGTATAGGTCAATCATTGGCAGGGAGCCTTCAAAATGAGGAAATGACTCCAGTAACTGAGCTTTATGTATGAAAAACAAAGGCAATCGGATGAAGATATGTGAACATTTTATGGGACCTTAACAGTGTTTTTGTCTCAGTTTTAGTGTTTTGGCTTCTGCTGCACATAAACTTCCTTCCTAGTTTCAATCACCGTCTGAAACCGAAACATTTTCTCCAGAAGGAAACCTTTAGCTAAAGAACTTTCTGCCAACACTGCTGAATTGACTGATAATACGATAAAATCAGAAGGAATATCTACAGGTTTACTTAGAATTTAAATACTTTTTTCCTCCAATCAATATACTTCTGCCAACATCTGCAGCCTGCAAGTGTGTGTGTGTGTTCATTGAGAGTGTGTGTGTGTATGTGTGTGTGTGTGTCTGTCTCCGCACACCGGGATGAAACATACTCTAATATAATATGACATCATGAAGAGGTGAAGAGGCCCTTATGACGTTTAAAAACAAACCATCCCCGTCCCCAAACTCTTTAAGGACAGTATTTACAGTACAAATTACAGTATAATACATCATTAAAAAATATGAGATCCATCTCTAAAAACATACAGGAGCTCTGGACAAATATCAATCCTACCGAATCAGGTTTCTATGGTATCATGTAGAAAATAAAAAAGCAGAGTGACAGCCCCCACCACCCCTCTCTTTCCATTTGGCCCTAGTTGTACCTGGCTAGCATGTTAAAAGTGAGATGATGGATTGGGTTGGTTGACCACACGCACATCTTTTCTGCTTTCTTTTTTTTTTTTT